AGTTTCAATAAGAAGTTCTTTCTACGATTGTGAATTAGTGTACTGTTGAATTGATCTCATCAAGACTGGATTGCATAGGACCTGCCCACTTGTAATCTCACTTGGAGATAAGGAAGAACTAAAGAGTTGCAATATTGCAAGGGAACGTCATAACAAGCCACCGAAGAGAGACTGGAAAATCACGATTCTTGGCTTATGTAGAAGACGGACGGATTAAAGTCCAACTACGGAAGCTTCCCGGGCATACCCTAGAACAAAACCAGCTACAAAAGCCACATTAGCTTTACAATCCCTCCAACTATAAGTTGTTCCCGCCACATATGGCGCACAGCTTCGCATAACCTACATTTAGGCTCTCTTACGACCGATATTTAGAGGCAACTGCACACGTGTTAAGACATACACAATAACATTGCAGTATTCGATCAGAGCACTACAATCACCATAACCTCTTAGTGATAATATTCAATAGATTATAACCTACTTCTTGTTACAGTAAATCATAATCTCACCAGTGACATGCAGAGAGTAAGAAATTGATTATCCTCTAATTATCCAATAAACAGATATATCAACACCACAAGTTTATCAAGAAATATAAAGATCGTTTGTAATTTAACCAAGGTTAATAATTCCCATTGGAAATAAAGTAAAATAAATTAATTAAACAGCAATAATAAAGATATGAGTTAATTATTTAATCGATGCATTAACCCTTTACTTGCCCGGCAACCCCACACAACATCTAGTGGGTTTTTTGTTCTAAATTGATTTTTGCACGTTTGGCTGACGAGTCAGATTGTGGAATTATTTTCCGAACAGAAATGAATGTATGAGCATACCTGCAGACTATACTTGTTGTGGCAGTATAGTTTCTCGTCATGCAGTTAGCACCTTTGACTGCTTGTAAACGTGGCACACTTGGCAATTAATTATGTATCCCCTTGGATGTGTTCATTGCGTGAGAATAATTGAGTGACTATTGTGTGGCCGGAAATGTTAGCTGAATAACGTAATGACTTATAACTGTTAACCAATTGATTCGCAATGAGTGACAGAGCGCAGTGTGCTGCCCTTATGTATCCACGCTGCAGCTCACTTAGCTGGCAACAAAGCACCTCTATTGCCGTACTGGAATCCTACATGAGGCGCAGAAGAAAACTCTACAAGTTTCGAGAATTCTAAGAAAAGAACAAAGCTTAAGAAATTTTGAGAATTCCAGGCGATGTTATTACTCGAAGATCATATAAACATTGCAGGCCGAAACATAACAAGTACTCGAACATTTTCGTCCCAAGTGTTTACAGAAACCTGAGAGCTAGAGAGACTAGCGATCCCGAGAGCGAACGGTTTTGGAAATTGCTTCAATCCCGAACAGAATCATATAAATTGAATGGAATTTTATTAAAATTCATACAAATATATTATTATTTTTATTATCCATTATTACCAAAATATTTGGAATTTCAGCCACCAGTATGGTCGCAGATCTAGATCGTTGGATTAGACCGTATTACCGGTTTAATGGAGATGGAGGAGGGGGATGAGTGAGAGGTTAATGCGTCAATTCAGTGTAAACACCATTGGTTATTAGTTACCTTTATTTAAGGTTATGTTACAGTGGAAGTTGTTTTTACCGATTGTAATGAGAATTGTTGAGCTTGTCGTGATTTAACAGTTGACCATAAAATATAGAGCGTGCAAGGCTAGGACTGCGTTGGTAGTGCTGAGGACGCGTTTTAATTCTTATTTTTGAGAGAGCATTGCCGGGTCGCGAGTCCATGGATGCATTATTCGGTGATGGCACGTATGGAGAGCATGGCTGGTTCGCGAGTCCATGGGTGCATTGTTCAGCAATAATTCAAAAAGGATAATAGGAGGGACTATTAAAACATTATCGACGCCCTCTTCAGTAGTCTGATAAGAACCAAGTTGCAGAGGCCTTACCGATGATGTCGACGCTGTGCCGCAGTAATGAGTGTGTGGCGGGGGCCACTAGACATTATCGGCACCCTCTTCAGCTGTCTGACAATAATCAAGTTGCAGATGCCTGACTGATATTGTTGGTGCTGAGACGCAAGATATACTGAAGATGTTAGCCTATGTCGTCGCCCTCAATGCGGTCTGACTATCGTCACGTTGCAGAGGACGCACCGATAGCTGGCCAGCAATATAGAATAAATAATGCAAACAATGAGTATACCTTGCATGGATTTCCTTAGACGTGTAGAACTTTTCACTGTTATAACTTGCACTAATTTCACTTGAGTTGCTCAACAAGACCGTTTTTCTTCGTCGTCTGTTACTGCTTATATATGATTCGTACATTTAGGGGTGTAATTATTGGAAACTCTAAAGACTTCTCCGAAATTAAGCTTTAGTACGTTCGAGAATCTTCTTTTGTTGCTATGCGGATATAGCATGCAACTTAAATTACATCGAGAATTTTCGCAGCCGATAATTCAAATATTACGCATTAATATAGATATAATGTATCGGAATCATATTATAATAAACAATAAATTTTTTATTGTTGTGTAGTTCAATCCTGACCATTCCGCTCGCCATCATCACTGTAGTTGGTGATTCCCGTCATTCTCTTGGATAGGTAGGACTGCCAGTTTGTGAATTGCTCTGACTCTGGCGAGTAGCTACTTGCAGGGAAGTAAATGTTCGTCTGTGATGAACACCAGTGAGCGATCTTTGATATCATTCCGTGGGTAGTGCCATTTTGAAGTCGATAGTTATTGTTGCAAGTAATGTGTCGACTACTGTGACCAGAGTTGTTGTACACATACTTATAAGCTTCCAGCGGGTTGTTTTTGAAATTGACAAATTCTTTAGAGATGGTTCTGGGATACTAGTAAGTGGGCTCCCGATTACGAATGTCCTGTAAGTGTTGAATGGTTTTTGGAGGATTGCCTCAATTTGGGCAAGCAGTGTGGTGATTTCTTCAAATGTCCTTTCTCCAATGATGCGCCGTAAGTGAAACTTGGCTGAGTTTACTACTGCTTCGCATTTTCCTCCCATATGAGGCGTAGTGGATGGATTGAATTACCATTGAGAGTAGTCGCTCAAGATCTTAGCTTAAGATGGTTTTAGCTGTTTGTTATTGTTCTTGGGAACCTTGTTTACAGTTTGTAGGACGCTTCTGAAGAATGTCAGAGTGCCGCGTAAATCCATCTCTCGGAATGTTTACTTCTCTCTGAGAAATATTGAAGTTAAAAATAATAGACAAATACTACTTGGGTATTTCGCTTACATTATAGATTCTATTCGAAATTATAGTGATGTAATTCTTGGCTCGAACTACCAATGTTTCAATAGTTTAGCGCCTGCCCTAGCAGACGCTCGGGAAGGAGTGAGATGTAAGGGCTGTACAAGAGATATCGATATACGGATATCCTATGGATAGACATATGGATGTTGTAGAATCTTCTTGAATCTTATATGAAGATACAATTTCTTGATCAGCTTCTTATATAGGAGGAGTCACTACACAAGATGCTTTGAAATCGTTGAATTGATGTTGAATTGAAAATTGCACATGAAAATAATTACTGCACACTTCTTGTCAGAGAGTGTGAGATAATGCTCATGGTTGTCTTGAGCCGATTTTGCTGTTGACTTACAATAATTGAATAGATAACGTGTATTAATGTACTCACAGCGATATCGTAGTTTAATTGCGGCAGAGCAAATGCGTGCGGTGTAACTTTTATACTCACAGGGATGCAATAATCTTCATTTAATCCAGCGGTGAGTTGGACACAATTGCACGCGACAGAGCAAATGCGTGCGGAGTGATTCTTATACTCACAGGGATGCAATAGTTTTGATCTGATCCAGCGGTGAGTTTGACACAATTGAACGCGGCAAAGCAAACGTATGCGGAGTGACTCTTATACTCACCAGGATGCAGTAGTCTTGTTCTGAATTACTAATACGTATTTCTGCGTTGAGTGATTGACTTTCCTTAAGATAGCCCTTGACTACCCACTCGAGCCTTTTCTTGAATTATCTCTGCGGACAGTGCTTGGCTGTCCACAGCCCTTGGCTGCCCACGTGGACAGCGACTTTTCGCTGCCTTGTTCCCATCTTTAAGGCCTCTTGCCATGAGTCCCCACTCAAGAAGCTTCTGGTCTTAGTTTTCCAATCAGGGCGCGCCGCTTTTCGGCGGCATGATGAATGTGCACGCCCTTTTCCCACTTCATAAGAAATTAGGCTTAGACAATGAGAGTATCGAAGGAGTATCTCTGGCGGCAATGCGTGAAGTGGAAGATTTGCCCCTCTCCGGGACTCATCGTGGTGGGGGTGATTTTTGGTCAAGCGTCTTCGCTTGGCCTATGCAAGCAGCAACGGTTATCGTACTTGACAACAATGCATGCGTATACCCTTGTGGCATTGAAGGCACACGTGCGACGCAGAATGTCGAGAGTCGCACGTGCCGAGTTTCGGGTTGCAACGGATTTTAAGAAATGTTTTTCATTCAACTGTTTTGAAATATTTTAATCCTCAAAATATATTCTTGTAAACAAGTTAGTCGGGTTTTGATGGTAGGTCGCAAAGGTCTTCATTGCATTCAAAACAATTACTACGTCTTTAATACGAAAGGCAATAAATGGCTGTTTACGAGTTCACAGATGTACAAACCTTTTCGAGTCTCATGCAACCTTGGCGAGACTTTCTTAGTTTTTTATATCCGTTCGATAATTCTCTTTTATCAGCTATTGAAAGTATTTCTAGTAAATATAATTCGAGAGATTTTCTTTTCACTCTCGAACACATTCATAATATTCAAAATGAATTTTCTAGTACACAAAATGAATCATTATCTTTTGGATTCGTGATAGAAATTTATATATTATTATATTACGATATATTACAATTTGACAGGAACATACTTACCTACTTATATCATATTATTTATTGACTAATTACCTTATTATTTTCTCATTGTTAAAAATGGTATCGTTCATCTTCATTGCATATAGGCTTTGTGCAAATATCTAAAAAATCAAATATTCATATTATTTTAATTTGATTCTTGTTTGTTCACAAAATGTTATTGTTTTACTTAATACAATTTTTTACTTAATACAAATTATTTTATATTTAATATATTTTCTAATTAAATATCATTTATTATACTATTTATATGGCTAGTTTTATGAAGCACTTATGTTTTATATAATTTTTGGGGTTATTTGTGTATAATTGATGAATAGTTTTTTATAATAATTTTTAAAAGTTCGTAATAAAAGATAATTATTTGCAAAATATTATTATTAATCTATATTTTATATTTTTATGGAATAGTCGTTAGTTATCTTAAACGTGACCATATATAAAGATGTGAGTTTTTATATTATCTATTATTAAATATAGATCCTTTATAAGTATATATACTTTGATTTATAGCTCACCTAAAAAAGGATTTTATGTACATTTTGCTATTTTTAATACTTGTGCATAATCAGTTTAAGGCATTTCCTCAATGTTTTAATGATTGCTGGTACTACTGTTACTCAGCTGAAACTACGCCTTTTAAATAAATAAACTACTAACTACGATGTAGTTTAAATTATAAAAATTTATGTGAGCGTGCGATTGTAGCAATTACATAATATGATAAGGTGAATATAATATAACATAAGTATATAAAGAAGATTTTATATGATTTATACATTTCATATTACACATGTATATCCATAATGGATAATATATCCATTTTATTTAGAAAATCCATTGTTCCAAATCCATTATTTAGAAAATCTCTTTGAGATTTTTAACACGATAAATTGTTATTATCATTTTAAACTTATACAATAGTTATATATTAATATATATATATATATATATATATATATATATATATATATATATATATTTTTGTTTTATAAACTTTTTTATAGATTTTTTTAAAAATTTTTTATAGATTTTTTTTATAAAAATTAAAAGTAAGATGTATAACTAATAAGTAACCGTATTTCTTACCTCTCCATTTTCAGGAGGATCTCCATTGCCAAAAGTTGATGTAATAACTAACAGTAGAGCTTCATGTTCAATATTAGTTATATCATAGTTTGACATACTTATCACCTACAATTTTTGAAAGTTTTATACAAGATTTTTATAATTATATTTTGTTTTGATAAAATAAAATATAATTTTAATAATTACAAAACGTGAAATAAATATATTAAGTTATAATAAATATATTAGGAATAATTAAGTTATAGCCATATTAGTATCATCAGTTCATGATTATTTTTTACGTAATTTAAAATTAATACTCATTTATCGTATTATTAGTAGTTTAATTGAAGTATGAGTAGATTGATATTTTACATAAGTGTAATTTATAATGTAAAAAGTTTAAATGTTCGAACATAGATGAATTGAAATGAAATATTCATTGACCCTCAATCAATATAAATGTAATATCTATCCGAATTGATGCCATAAAATATCTACATATAGAATAAAATAAGAACAATAGTGTGTAATAGTATATATATGCCTATATATAGTTATATCAACTTTGAATTTGTATAATACGAATCGTTATATTGATGTTATTTATCAAATTGTTACTTCTAGAACATATATGTATTAGTACATTAGTTTTTAAATAATTTCATAACAAAAGTGCAAATTAATAATTTTTTAAATTTAGACTAAAACAACATTTATATTAATATATATAATCTCGTTAATCAAGAAATTGGCTGAGAAATGTGAGTCATCACACTGCAACATATCACTAGATAAACTTAATGATACACTGTCACAAGTCGAGGAATTGTATAAGGTCTTCATCAAAGGCCATGCACACTGGGACGCAATTTGGACATTTACTCATACCAATCACGAACATTTTATGAAAAATGCCAATCAAGAGGAACACAAACAATTGAACATGGCTTGAAAAATGATCATTAAACTTCGTCAACCCTCCAATAAGGAATCTACTATGAGAGCATCCTCACCAACGAAGGTACAACCTCCTGCCTCCATATGTAGTGCATGCTGATGCCACGTGACAACTACCACCGAACTGCAAGATCTCACCGATTCTCAACACCATCTTAGTATCATTATTATTGTGTAGTTTAACGCAGCTTAAGGGATTGGGAGTACGGGAACATTGAAAGGACTACATTTCAGTATATCTGATGTCACAACGGCTCAATCATGCCACAAGGGAATTGTGGGAGGCATTAGTCCTTTCACTTCTTAGCCGTGCCTTGAACAATTGGTAAACTTCCTAACGTATCGTATGAGGACACTAAATGAAATGAATTCATTAACGACTATCTAGAAACGCTGTACGACTACAATACCATATTGAAAGCACATCAAGGATCAGTGAATAATATCCAGCCCAAACTTCCGGCACAAAAACACAAGATTAACAAGTGTGAATGCTGCACCCACTCAATCCTTACATTTTCACGATTTATGAATATATCAACTGTAAAAAAAAACAGAATCTAGTAAAAAGACAGTACTCATCTTCAACTGTCTAAGACATCACAATGTCACGTATGTATAATTAATACACAATGAAAGAAATGGTTCAGACGGCATCATATTATTATATGAAGAAATCAATTCAGAGACTGTTCAAACCAGCAGTTCAAACCCATCATTCAACTGAGATGATGGTGCAATCGTCGAAATAATAGTGCATACTACCATATTAGTAGTCACAGTATGGCCTAAATACTGTCAAATTCTACTACCGTACAAGTTCGTCTTCTAATTGACACAGGTTCAGAGCTCAGATTTGTCAGTGTCAGTCTCATTAAACAACTAAACAACTCCACAGAGACATTCCATTATTTATATTGACATGTGACAAGGGTCCTCCAGCGTGCAATTATCAATATCAATATTATCTGCCGCATGTTGGTATGCTCAACTTGACAGCTATACAACCATATTAAGAGTAGTAGTACTTAATGATTCTATCACATCAGCATCAAGTTCTAGAATCCAGACATATAAAGTGTTTTAATATGGATCAAAAGACAACGATGTTTTGTTTGCCACCGATGTCACTAAAGTGTATAGGCAGATCAAAACTCACAAGGATTATCGAGACATTCAGATAATACTGGGGATAGACGAACAACAAGGGAAGTACCTGATCATTTGACGACAGGCACTTACAATTTCAGGGCCGCCCATTCCTGGGAATCGGAATACTACTCTAATTAGTAGAGGATGAGGGAAGTGCCATCACTCATGAAAAATATATCGATGACATTTCCGGAAGTGCTAATACACCAGAATAAGTAACTGAAGTCGCAGCACAATTACGAGGACTTCGCATGGCGGGCGGTTTTCCCTCCTCCTTACCACAAATTTTGGATTACGGTGGTCTCCTCAACAGGACACGTTTACGTTCATGACAGGAAGGACGTCGGTTCAAGTTGATGACCTCTCGAAACGCCTCATGTTATCTGAAATGGTTAAGATAATTGACTCAATAGGTTTTGTATTACCTGTCCTGATATAAAAAAAATTCATGCAGGAGCTGTGGCTGCACACGCTCCAATGGGGCGAAATACTGCCATCTCAACCTTGCACGATGGCGGACAATAAAAAAAAACTCGCCAATCGGACTGACTATGATCCTTACTTGTGGTGCTCGAGCATAAGTGGTAGGAGGGAAAGATCAGTATTTATGTCCGCAAGAAGGATTCAACGCGGTACATCAATATTCTCGGCTCGCTGAGGTATTCCACATACATTGTATTCAGATGGTGGTACATCATCACCGAGCTGATGCAGCGCTCCAAGACTATGAGTTCAAGCTATTCCTCACTCAGTTCACTATAGCTAAAATGGAGCTGGCAGCGGTTTGTTGCTTCCAACCTTATGCAGTACGACCAGACAACGTTGAACGTAAGGGTAAGGGCAACAGTCTTAAAGGGAGATCCTCGGGAGCTAACACATGAATCAGTCTCGAGCATCTCTTTGTGAGAAGCAGGGTTACTCAAATTCAAGAGATACTTTCTCCAGACACTCAATGGAATTTTTATCCCAATACATAAACCTGACACCCTACCAATCCCTGAGGAAGGGAAATAATTATCAATAAATTGCTGATGGCGGGTAGAATGTTCGGGATTGAAGCAACTTCCAAGATCGTTGATTATCGGCATCGTTAGTCTCTTTAGCTCTAAAGTTTCTGTAAACCTTTTGGACGAGAATTTTCGTGTTTTTGTTATGTTTTGATTTCAAATGGCCCACAATGCTTATATGGTCTTCGAGTAATAACATCGCCTGGATTTCTCCAAGTTTCTTACGCCTTGTTTTTTACTTAAAATCCTCGAAGCTTCTATAGTTTTTTTTCAGCACCTCGTGTAAGATTCCAGTGCAGCAACAACGATGCTTTGTTGACAGCTAAGTAAGCTGCCGTGTGGATAAATAAAGCAAGTACACGACGAGTATCGTTCTCTTCCAGTGAAGCGACCACGGTAAACCCTCTAAGTGAAGAAGGTATGGCACGGATAACGTACCGCCATGAAACGATCAAGCCTTCAGTTTTCGTATCCGTATTCAGTAGGCTTATAGGCTCATTGTGAATCAGTCGGTTAACAGTCAAAAGCCATTACGTTATTCAACTAGCGTTTTCTGGCACACATCAGTCACACAATTATTCTTAGGCAATGAAGACATCTACGGGCACACAAATTTAATTACCAAGTGTGCTACACTTACAAGCAGTCAAGGGTGCTGACTAGGACGTGTAACTGACTCGGAGGAATAACTGACGCGGAGTAATAACTGACTCAGAAGAATAACTGACTCGGAGGAACAACTGACTTGGAGTAGTAACTAACAACGCGTCTTAATGCGCGCTTCTTAATATCCACGCGGCAGCTATGTTATTTGACAACAATAATAATAATAATACATGTGTGAAAGATTTGTAAAATTCCAGTGAGCCCCGGGGTGTGGCGAGCTGCTCTTAAATATTCGCGTGGCGGTTTAGAACGCTGGCAACAGTGCTTGGGCTTGTTGCTAGGCCGCAAATCTTGATGACGTTAGAAACCGAGCTCCAGAATATTGGAGAAGTCCAGAAAGACACTGCCTTGGAAGGTTAGAGAATTTATTTTATTTAATTATTTATATTTATATTATATTATTTATATTTAATTTAATTATTTATTTATTTAATTATTGTAGTACACTAGAAAATAAGACTTGGACTATTTAAGAATCAATGTTTACAAATATAGGCGTCCAAGTGCTTGTACTTTTCCTATTTTTAAATTCTTCGAAGTTGCTCCAATCCCGAACAATAAGATATCTGAAGAATACCACACATTTGCTCGAACCTTCGCCTAATCATAAAATCTATAATTTTTCTAGAGCTTATCACATATTAAATTTATTCAACAGATTATAGGAGCGGGTATGGATATTAGATAATCATACAGACGGATTTACTCTATCATATTGCGTTAAAGCGTCACAGAAATTGTCATTCGATATAACTTTAGATATAGTTAATATCACAAGAAATATAAAATAAATTTTGAACAAGAGTTATCTATTATTATCTTATCGTACCTTATTTCATTGATTTCTACAAATCAGATTAATTGTGAATCGTACTATGTATTCCGTTTACTTCATACTACCATAGCGTTTTTATCATTATATGATATTTTTTCTTTTTGATATTTATTTTACACATTGATTATGATCCATATATGATCAATATGGATCTATCCAAATTATATAATGTGTGGTAAGCTAATTAGATATATGATTATTAGAATTATAGTTTATATTAGACTGCGTAAAATAATTAAAGAAAGAAATATGTTATGTTCAACAATAGCATGTTTTTATTGTTTCAACAAGACATATGCATTCAATTAGCATACAATACATTTTTATTGATTAAAAAATATATTTTCTGGCATTACTCCTTAACTATTTTTGTAATTTATTCTAAGCATTTAATTTTTAATTACTATCACATTCCTTAAAAGACAATACAAAATCTTTATAAGTATATTATTTTCGACATTAATAGTGAAAAATGTAAAAGTATTTGTTTGAAAATGCGAGAACATTTTTTCTTTTTTGTCAGTGCAATAAAACATCTGGCAAGTAACATCGTAAAATTTGTATTTGGATTTCAAAACTTTAAGTGTCATAAAAAATCTGGAAAAATAATACCATAAACACGAGAAAACCTATAATTTAGACATCTGCATTTTCGTTCCGCTCGGTAACTACATCAAGCATTACTGCAAGCGGACCTTGCTACCCCTTCCTGCTGTCGACAAGTGGCAATGCTGTCACCAGAGAGTCTGCGATGCACCCCCTTTCCGCTGCCGACAGGCTGTCGCATGCGGCAGCAGCAACGAGAAGTCTGCTTGTCATGAAGACCACAAGACGACTAGGCCCTTAATTAACTCTTGATATTTACTCTTGATAGTTTTTCTTTAGTAGTATTCTCGTGATATTACTCTTTTTTGAAGTGTCTCTCCTTTTTGATATCTCTCTTTTAGTAATACTCTCTCAATATATTAAACCCTTGAGACATTTCATACTCAATTAAGTTTAGTGAAAGCCCATTTAGCACTCTTTTGGGAACGACTTACACTTCTTCGGATTATCCATTAACACTGTTACTGGAACAGTAGTTACTGTCCCGGAAGAACTACGACATAAACCCGTATGTCCACTAACGCAGTTCAAGAAACCGTCGTTACTTGTTCCAAGGGAGCTACGACAATTCACCTATCAGAGTTCGAAAACGAGTCAACGATTAGTCTTTGTAAGTAGTCTCTACAACAATAATTACATATATATTGAGATTCAGAGTATTACAGCGACAAGCACAAAGGACGAGGAAGCTACTCTTAATACGACAGTGCGGAATAAATTCCAGTACGCGTCGTCCAGTTTTGCGCCTGCCAGGGGCGTCTCATTTTTAGCAACCCTCACCTTAGTTCAAGTTCGGAAGCTTATGAAAGTAAGCAACACACAGCACAAGTGTCGATGAATCCAGTATCGCGCCACTTTTCGATATCTTTCAATCATAAAGCTGCATTCATAACCTCAACCACACACGTGCTCGTTCAAAAGGCGCTAGTGTCGAGGAACGAAACTTCGCGCCATTCGCCATTCGTATTCAACAATCAAGCTGCATAGATTATTGTACAGTTGTCTCTGCAACACAGTACTTCAATCCAAGAATTAGTTCTACAGGTAATAATAGTAATACTGGTCAACCTTGTCATTAATAAATAACAGAATAAATAGCATATACTTCAGTCATATCTTTATTGTATTATTATAATATCCTTTCTACTTGTGACTTGTCATCGCTACCACACAACACCCGTGGTCTCTTAGTTGTCAACGGCATCAAATTGTATCCGTCGAACCGGCCTTGATAAAACAAGTCGGAACGACAAGTTGCATTTTGTACAGTATTTCTTTATATTTTTATGCCTGTTAAAGTATGTAGTTTTTAAAGTTTTACAATTCCTATAGTATTAAAAATATAATTACCTGCGAATGAAATGCATGACTAAAAAGTTCACCAAGTTTATCTGCATACATTTGTGATTTCCCTGTTTCGGTGGCATACAGTACCGTAGCCTTAATTCTTCTAGATAAAGCTCTTCCAAACAATTTTGAAGTGAATTTTACAGCTCTAAATTAATAAAATTTATATATGTCGATATAACATAGAATTTTGAAGCAATTGTATAGAAATATGAAAAATAATTATATACCTAGCTATTTGTTTAAAATGAAATTTTTTCCGTGGTTTCTTTACTGTATAATGATCATTTTTTCCTTTTTTCCATGTATGAGTTTTCCATGCCGGTTCCTACAAAATATAATTACACAAAATTATATTTAAAATCGCATACATTGCACAATTTAATCGATTCTTTTTATTGAAATTGAAATACCAATATATGAAATGTACATATTTGTTCAGGATTGAATCACCCAATACAAAATAAATATTTATTGTTTGTTAAAATACGATTCCGATAATTCACATTTAAGGCGCAATATTTGAATTATACGTTACAAAAATTCACTGGAAATTTAGCCGCGCACTTTGTCCGCATAGCAACAAAAGAAGCTTCTCGAAGTTGTCAAAGCTTGCTTCCAGAGAATTCACTAAAGCCTCAAAGAATTCATAACACCAAATGTACGCAATCGTATTTAAGAAGCAACGAACGGAGAAGAAAACAGTCTTCTTGAATTACTCATGTGAAACTAGTGTCAGTAATATCTGTGAAAGTTGAACTCGTCTGAAGGAATCCCTGCAAGGTATATTATTATTATTATTATTCGATTATCATTATTTCTGGCCAGCTATCAATATTATCCACACTTGTCGTAAATCCTCGCCTATTTTTCGTGACCACACCCCGGCCTACGTCTATTATAGTTATTGATAGAGCCCGGTCTTATGCTCATTAGTAGGGCGAGACCTTACCGATCATGCTGCCCGAAAAGAACGTCTCATGATAATTCGCGGCCCACGTCTACCGTGTCAGAAAAATCCTCTGACTTGAGTCTCTAGCAGACCGCAAGAGAGGGCGCCGATTCTGACAGTAGACCCCTGCCTAAGTCTAAAGTTAGTACTGCGAGACATTACCGGACACGCCACAATAAAGTGGTTCTGATCAAACCACAAAGGAGGGCGACAGCTATTCGTAATAATCCCCACCACCGCCACGAGCCGAATATCAATCAGTCAATTCCAACGTGGAGTCAAGCGCCTAATCAGTCGCGAGCCGAAGCTCGCCTGGTACTATTCGAGCATCGCCGTAAGCGCCGAAGCTCCGTGAATATAAAATAAGATCCGGAATTATTACCTTAAAAAGCTTATACTCCCAGACGATGTTTCGTCTTAATAATCAGCTGCCTAGCCACTACATTCAACAATTCTCACCACAATAAAAAACACCTACAATACTGTAATAACTACTTAAATAAAGGTCACTAAAACCAATTGTATTTACTCTGAGTTGATGCAACCTCTCACTTATCCCCCCCCCTCCCCAACGCCATTAAACCGGCGGTACGGTCTAATCCACCTACCGTGATATACGATCATACTGGTTGCTGGAATTCCAAACATTGTGATTATATTATATCCAAACATTGTATATTATATAATGTATATTATATATATATATTTTTTTGTATTATAATCGAATTTGTGGAAGGAGGTTACAACATAAGGTTACAAAATTTTTTTTCCCACCTCCTTTATCTTACTATTCTTTTTCTTTTTTATCTTCTTTATCTTTCTCACCTTATTTATTGAAATTAAAAAGGTAATAAAAGTGTTTAATTCATTATATTTATATATTATTAACCATATCTATATTATTAATAGTATTTAATTCATTTTAATTTCTTTTGGGATTGAATTGTGGCAACTTCGAAGAATTTAAAAATGGGAAAAGTACAAGCTCTCGGACACTTATGTTTGTAAACATTGATTCGGCGAATTTTTGTATAGTCTACGCCTTATTTTCTAGTACCCCACAATATTTCCACAGAGCAACGTCGATGAAAATTCTCGAACCTGTCAAGGCAGTGTCTTTCTGAACTTCTCCAATATTCTGGAGCTCGGTTTCTAACGTCATCAAGATTTGCGGCCTAGCAACAAGTTCAAGCACTGTTGCCAGCGTTGTAAACCGCCACGCGAATATTTAATATTTAATATAAGAGTGATTGGAGCTGATTGTATATCAATAGTGAATATTAAACAAGAAGTGCACTACCTACAATCTCATCATAGAATTAGGTAAGACATGAATTTCTGTTAATTTAATTAAAGGAGGAACCATATTGAAGGCGAACGAGCGGAGCCTCATACGACTCTGATGCTGTGAATGCACCTGTCCCGATAGGCATTTATTGGATAGGCACTTAATGGATTGTGAATGGCTGAAGGTGTAAGAGAAAACACTGACTAACAGGGCAGTGCTCGGGATTGAAGCAATGTCCAAGACTATCGACTGTTGGCATCGCCAGTCTCTTTAGCTTTCAGGTTTTTTGTAAATACTTGGGACGAGAATTTTCGTATACTTGTTATGTTTTGGTTTTAAATGGTCCATAATGTTTATATGGTATTTGTTCAAGATTGAACTACCCAACAATAAAAAATTTATTGTTTATTAATATGATTACAGTACATTATATTCATATTTAAATGCGTAATACTTGAAATTGAAATTACTTGCTACGAAAATTCTCGATGTAATTTAAGCCTCGTGCTATGTCTGCATAGCAACAAAAGAAGATTCTCGAACGTACTAAAGCTTAATTTCCGAAAAGTCTCCAGAGTTTCCAAGAATTACAGCGCTAAATGTACGAAATCATATATTAGGAGCAACAGACGACGAAGAAAAATAGTCTTTTTGAGTAAGTCAAGTGAAATTAGTAACAGTCATAACAGTGAAAAGTTCTACACATCTATGTTATACTCATTGTTTATATTATTTATTCATTGTTTACATTACATTGCTTACAGTAGTTTAAATATTTATAATATATATTGAAAATTAGATAAAAAATAAAATAAAGTAAAAAGTAAACTCTATCAATAGATTGATCAAAATTTGTGAGACTTAACCAGTATAATATGATTTTATTAAATATACTATATCAATGTATATCAACTAATTAATATATTTAAAATAAAATGAATAATTTTTATATATTTATGTGTATGATTTGTTAATCTGTAATTTAACAATGTTCCTAACAAAATTTGTATTTAATTCTTTTGTATTTAATATCGTAACATAACAATTAAGAAAATTCTTAATAACTTTCAAAGCTTTTAAGAATTTTTTAATTTTAATGCATGCTATATTTAGCATAATATAAATGTAAGGTATTAAAAATACATTTATAATTAAAAAAGTTACTATTATATACATTCAGATTCATTTTACTCATTGGGCTTTTTCATAATTGAATAATTCTTGTATTTAAATAAATGTACGTTAAATATAACTTTATGAAATTATAATAAATAAATAAAATCATTTCGATACGACTTATGAGCAGTAAATAGTATGAAAATTGTGTAGATATGTGCGAATGAGCATACGAGTACGCAAGATTCGTATTATATACATTTCAACTCACAAGTATAAGTAATTAATATGTACTGTTAATAGGTAATGATATTTACTATAATAATAAGAAAGTGACATACACTACATAAATATCATTAAATGATATTTACAATATAAATACCAGAGTTATTAATTTTGTAAAAATTATATAATATATTCACTTTTAAAAAATCAATATATTATTCTTACTTGAAAATCATAAGATGGTTTTAAATGATAAAGTGCCATTTCTTGGTGAAATACTGAAGTTGCTGATCCCGATAGAGGTGGAGTAATCCATATCCAATCAGCAGGGCATCCATTTCTTAATCTCATTTCATTTTCATAATGTTTCATGAATGATTCAGAAGCTGTATGATGATCAACAATTGTAACATTTTTGGTCTGAAAGAATAGAATTTCTATAAACATTTTTGTAAATAATATTAAAGTGAATAGAAAAATTTTCTTTAGTATCTCGTTATTAGTAATTGTTCGGAATTGAAACAGTTAATGGCGGAATTCAAAAGTGGGAGAGGTGTAAACACCTGGACATTTCCGTATAAACACAATTCAGCGAAATCGGAAAATTACACTACGTTGAGTACTCGAATATTCGATTCTAATTCCGACTAGAAATGCCGATTAACTCCCAAGGTTATATTCTAGTGACGTCACCATAATGATCTGCATAGCAACAGGCACCGGTGCGCTGCCGTTGTCGCAAGCTCCTACGTGAATATTTAAGAGCAGCCCTTGACGCGCTGCGCACTGTTCGTTTAACATCTAGTCAGTGACTACACATCTGGCTCTGAGTATTGTTCTACGATAAATTCAGTTTAGTCCTCATAGTAATTCTATATTTAGTATTATTATTGAGTTGTGCATCTCACATCAGTGTCACTTGCGCCAGCACGAATTGTAATTCAAATTTCAGACAATCAAGAACACAAGAAAGAACTAACACCACTACAATAGAATAATTCTCAGTCTCAATAGAAGTAACCAACAACGCTACAATATTATAATTCATAGACAGAATAAATTAATAATCGAACTCAAATATATTACATTATACCTTTCATTTCTTCCATTTCTGCCTTCTTTCTTCCTAATCGCTATGGCGAGAGATTAATCCACTGAACTATTGAATTGGCAGTTCGAGCCATAAATTAAAACGTTAGAAATCGAACAGTAATAATTATAGAAATTTGAATTGTTATATATATATATATTATTCGAAAGTGGTATTATTTCCTGTCTGTAACTGCCAATGTCTTCGGGATTGAAGCAGTCCCATGAATTTCAAAAAAAAGAAAGGTCATATACGCAGTCCGGTGTACCGCATGTGCGCCTAGACTGACCGCGCGTGCAGCAAGGCTGACCATCACGTGCGCCTAGGCTGATCCGCACGTGCGGACCGAGGCGGGTACTCGAGCAAAATGTTTACAAACAAAACTCGGCAAGTCCGAGCAAGTTTACGATTTGAAATATAATTTACTGCCAGCACTCACAAAAAAGGGACGCCTTCGAAACTTCTAGAAGCTTCGTTTTCTCACGCCAAAGGAAAATTTCTGGAAGGGACGCGCATCGACACTGTTGCCGGCGCTGAAGACGCCGCATGCACATTTAAGCGCAACGCGCCATGAGGCGACGCTCACTCGTAAACTCACTTCGCTCTCCATCAAGCGTAACTGCCGGTCAGTGCATAGTATACTGTAAAGACGCCGCGTGGCCACATTTTCGGCA